AACAAAAACCTCCATAATTCCATGTTGGGCTACTAAGTTCGATTAAAATCCATAAGAAGTGATATAGAGAAGGCCCAAGAACAGCTAAAGCTCACTTATTAGGGAAAAGAAAAGAAAAGAAAAGAAAAGACAGCTACAGCCCAAAAGGCAAAAAGCAAGTAAAGGCCCAAAAAGAGAGAAAACATTTCGGCCTACTGAACAAGCCATTAGACCTGGTCCAAATCATCCCATTCTAGCCCAATAATAATTGGGTCAGCAGCATCTTGTTTTAGGCCTTCGGCGCGTTTTCTGATATCAAAAAACTATTTACCGCGTTATCTTATCCGTGTCCCGCGTGACACGTGTTACATTGGCTGTCCGCGTTGACCAGTCAAGAACCACCCCCCAGAGGTCTAGACACTTTCTCTGTGGGGCCACCATCCAGCGCGGAACTTCACCCCGCAGTTCCAGCATAAGCAACCCAATAGTTAGTTGCCACGTCATCTCAAAAGTGAATTTCTGAATCATCACGTGATTTTCAGTTCACGCGGGCGGGCCGCGGGCCCGCTTTTGTTTTCTCCGATCGTCAATGCATTGCTGTCCACTGACCCAATTTAGAACCAGCCGCCGACTCTCTTTGGATTCGCCGTTAAGGAATTTCCGATTTTTCCCTCATATACAAATTCAACTACCCTTTTGGGTTTAATCCTTTATCCCATCTTCAAAATCCCATAAATTGCAGAAATTTTGAATAATAATTCGGTGCAGATGAAGTGGTTACAGAGGACGGCGATGAAGAGGCTGCACGTGAAGGTCAGGCCGTTGAAGCTGGAGGGATTGTGTGGAATCGAAGTGGAGGATGGAGGGGGGAAAATGGTGTCTGTTGAGATGATCTGGAAAGGGCCCAATCCTGGATTGCTTCCGTTTTACCGATCGTCGTCTAATCGCCAGAGAAATCGGAGCAATCAGAGGTCCGTCGGGGAGGATGGGTCAGTCGAATGGGACGATGAATTTGAAAGAGTTTGTGGGTTTTCGATTATTTCGAAAGATCCTCCTTTGTATGGTTCATGGGATGTTTGCTTCAATATCTTACATGTAAGTTAATTACTTTCCCTTTCCCTTTCCCTTTCCCTTTCCCTTTCCCTTTCCCTTTCCTTTCTGAATAATCTTTTCCTAAATTGTGTTTTTGTTAATGTTTATGAACATTTGAATGAAGTTTAGGGGGACAATGCAAAACCAAAAGGCAAATTAGATGTGCTGGGAAAAGTTCCGGTGGATTTATCACAAATAATTTCGAAGATGGAATGCTCTGAGATCAAGAGGACGTTTCCGATCAGTTTGAAGGTTGGTGGAACCACCGTGGAAGCTACTCTTATGGTAATGCGTCAAATTTTAAGTCAATTATGTCCTTATCTTTGTTTCCTGTATATTAAATTTGGCGTAATCTATTCAATGGTTTTATATTACGTAACTGTTTTTCTAAAATAGGTATCTTTGAGCTTTGTGGAGGTGAGATGCTCCGATGATTCACCGGGTATTGTCCAAAACTCAGCAGAGTCGCGGGAGGAAGATGGGTCGTTCAGAATTGTAAAGGACTTAAAGCAGAACGAGAAGAAAAAGAAGGAAACGAACCGAGTGGTGAGCAGATCGTCGGAATCGGAGGAGTCCGGCTTGTTTGATTCCGATGGGTTGCTCGGGAACGAGTCGACCACCACGTGTGAAAACAGCAGTGAGGAGCTGAGTTCCGGTACCGAGTTGGAATCCACCCAATCTGCCCCTGAGCGCAAGACGGGATTGTTTTCATGGAAGAGACGGCGGCTGAGCTTTAGCTCGTCCTGGAGGAAAGCAGAGCCGGCTGCGAAGAATACCGGCGAAGGCGGAGATGATGTTGAACCTTCCGGTTCTTCCCTTGATGAACCATTCACACCCTGGGAATTGAGGGAAATAATCAGTAGAGATAGAGAAGCAAAGCTGAAGGCCAATGTGTTCTTTGCTTCCTTCGATCAACGAAGCGACAAAGCAGCAGGAGAAAGCGCCTGCGCAGCTCTGGCTACCGTGATTGCTGACTGGCTCCATTCAAATCCTGACATAATGCCAACAAGATCAGAATTCGACAACCTCATAACAGAAGGCTCTTGGGAATGGCAGAAGCTTTGCAACAACACTGCCTACACCACTTCCTTTGCTGACAAGCATTTCGATCTGGAGACAATCCTGAAAGCCGATCTCAGGCCGGTAATAGTCCTGACGGATAAATCTTTCACCGGTTTCTTTAGCCCGGAGAAATTTGAATCCTTGAAGGGTCTCATGTCATTTGATCAGATATGGGATGAAATAAGCCGCAACACTAGTGAGTATGAAACTGGGATTTATATAGTCAGCTGGAACGATCATTTCTTTGTATTGAAGGTAGAACCGAAGGCATGTTACATTTTCGACTCATTGGGGGAACGGCTGTCTGAGGGGTGCAACCGGGCATACATTCTGAAGTTTGATGATTCGAGTTTGATTTACCAGAATGTGGAAGGGAAAGAAGGTGAGGAAAATGAACAGGTGCTCTGCAGTGGGAAAGAGTGTTGCAGAGAGTACATGAAAAGATTTCTTGCAGCTATACCAGTTGGAGAACTCGAGGTGGAAGAGAGAAAGGGAACAGTTTCTGCTTCTCTTCATCGGAAATTGCAGATCGATTTCCATTACAGCTCTTGTTCCTCTTCTTCATCGGCAACTTCTTCTCACTTCTATTGTAAAGAGAAGAGAATACATAGGTAGTTGATAGATAAAAGGCACACATTGTTTCCATTTTGTAATTACTTTTCATAAAATTCAATGTAAACCCTGATGTGAAGGTTAAGGACTGATTCATCAAAACATTCCCAGAAACCCCAAATCCTGTTTTCCTTTGAGGTTCCTTCTCCATCCTTGAAAGGAAGGAGTGACTCTGTTCTGTAAAAACAAGAATAAGTTGAGTGTACTTTGATTCTAAGTACACACAAAAGATCTCCCATCAAGTGCTTTTTGGGATCTCTCTTTTAAGTTTTTAAAAGCACAATAGACAGAAAAGTCTATATTCTCCACTATATCAAAGGTCGAAACCAAGAATCTGACCCCACAAACGGCTGATAAGTACACTGCTTCCATAAGCATTTCTCACAACCCCACATCTCAAACATGCAAAAAGGAAACTTCACATTCATTCATTAATCATTTCTTTCTATCCCTTCCTAATTTGGACCAAAGAAGGGTCCACACCACCACACCCACCAAGCACATTGACATTGATGAATACTATTAGATTTTGTGAAGAGAATTTCCTGTCCCCCATTCAGACAAACAAAGCACCCATCTTTTTCTTCTGTCTTTAAGTGAAGTTTTCCTACTTAATCAGGCTAAGCATGGTACTAAACAGAATGATCAAGCAGATAAAAGTAGTAGCTCTTAGAAAAAGTGTAAACCTCTTAGGGTAACATATCATAAAAGTGGCACACATAATACAACATATTTGTACATTAAACTGAAAGTTCTTCTCTTGTTAGCATTTCCATGATTACTTCCTCTAACTAAACCCCAGACAATATTTACACCACGCAAGTTTGCAAGCTTCCAAGAAAAGGTGACAAAACACAGAATATGGCAAAAAAGAGGCTTCAACTATGCATACTCACCAGGACAGCAATGGTCTGAAGCAATGTGCTGAATCAACCAACAAAGTCTATGAACCTCCTCTGGCTAAGTGGGTAGAAGGAAGCTTTGGCTGCCAACAAAACTGCCAACCTTCAGATGGGCAAAGCACAGCCTTCCGCTTTCTCATTTTTGCATCTACATTCTTAAATCCCCCTTGAACACTCCACTTGTCCGAAGATGAATTCAAGGGGTCATCCCCATTACTCCTAGGAAAGCAAGCTACCTTCTTACCAATTGGGGGTGTAAGATCAGTGACCTTATTCCTCTCTTGAGCAGTGGAACTGGCATCTTCAATTTCCTTAGAGTCACTGTTTGCAGCACTCAAGCAAGGTACAGAAAGAGGGCCCAAACGCAATGATAGATCACAAACACTTCCATGTGGGTTGTCAGGAATATCCCTGACATCTATTTGAGTGTTCTTGTTTGAAATGTCTACATCACAGGACAAAAGAGACTGAGTAGCTCCCACTTCGCCAGGCTCCAAAGCCTTGACTTCGCTAGAAAGTGACTGAGGCAAGATTCCCATTCCATGCCGGGGTTCCTCAAGTTGAAAGTGAGTTCCATAATACAGTGGATAAACTGAATATAAACTTGAAACAGGATACTGCTTTATAGGTAAGCAATGATCATTACCAAAAGAGGTAACATTCTCGGATGCAAAGGGAAATCTGTAAGTTGTGGACTTAGTGTTCTGTGCAACTGATTTCTGTAATTCAGACCCCAAATGAGTCACATTCATGGGTGTACGTTTCACAAAATCAAAATAATTAGCAATACACTGTGTGTTAATTGTATGATCTTCTTGGAGATTGTTCTCTGCTTCCGGAGGGCTAGTGTTAAGGTAATATCTCTGGGTACTATAACGTTGGCTCCTCAGAGTTCTTCTAGGTGTACAGCCCAAATTAAGAGCAGCTAACCAGTAACAAAACAGAGAAGAATCATCACACAGTAGTATTAACACTTTAGAAGAGTGAACACAAAAGTGGCATGACATTTCAAAATTTGAAGCAATTGCTACTCATAATTGATTTATCTAGAAGTAACAAACCCCAACTGCAAATATGCCTTCAAAAAGAGAAAACCTAGAAGCAAAAGCTGAGAGAGTACCTTCAATACAAGGTTGAAGAAACTCTCCAGTTTCCGTACTTTCATCACGCCTAATGATTGTGTTAATGGCATCTTTGGTTCGATCCCAAAGAGTTCTAGGGTCCATATATTCAGCCTGAATAATATTTAGAATGCATAATAACAGATTTAAGTTAACAACCACAAATTTGTCAAACTAACGATTCTCCTCGGAATATTCAAGAAATGTAAAAGAACCCAAAATTTACAGACAATTAACTGTTCAAAGTTTTCTTTAGCAGAAGAAATAAAACAACAAAATTGATATTTTTTTGGCCAACCAAATCAGAAACAACTGATAAATATAATAATCAAAGTTTAGCACTTTTGTTTTACCCTTCGAATTTAAAGGGATGGGAGGTAAACAGCTTCAAATTTCAACCCAAGAATAGCAAAAATGAAAACATTTTACCTCGGAATTGGCTTTGGAGTACATAATTTCTTCTGCTTTCAAGACAACAACAGGGAGCTTCTCTTGCCATTCCTTGTTCTTCTTTATAGCTGAGCTATGAATTTCATGAACAACCCTGAAAAAATCAAGTACATAGCAAGAACTATTGACCAAAAAATTACCCCCACACACATACAACCACAAAAAGCACAAAGGGGAGAGTGGAATACCTGAAAATTTCTTGAATGAGAGAACCTCTCATGGGTTGGTGCCTATCACTGTGCCAAGCTCTCCTCTCACACACATAAGGTCTTGGCCCTGGTCTAGGCATCTTCTTCACCAATTCCCTTTTGAGCTAAGAGAACAACACAGTGAGCTTCACAAAGGCCAAGCGTTCTGTGAAAAACCCTTGTCCTGACCAAGAATGCAGTAGTATAATACACGCAAGAGAAACATAAAAAAGAGAGACGGGAAGGGCTTCTTGGGTTGTGGACTGAGGAGTGCTTCCTTTCCTTTTTCCTTTTCTTCCTTTTCTTTTTTCCCTTTTTTTTCTTCTGTCACAAACTCAATAATTTCAAGGTCTTTTAATTGATGAGTTTGGTGTGTCCCCCACTGATCCACATGCCTGCTTCCCCTAGCCCCAAGAGTCTCTCTCCTTCCTTTTATTATTGTTTTTGGGTTTTGCCCCCTCTATTCCCAATTTCTCTCTCCTGACCATTCATGTAATTTAGTGGTAGGGGCTACGGGGAGATTGTCACTGTCGGTGGCATCAGGCTGACCCCAACCTCTTATACACACTGTTACCTTGCAAAAGATTCACGGGAAAATTGCGTCAAAAAGTCTATCCCTTTTTACTTAAAATTACCCACAAAAGGCCAAGAGACCAGCTTCCAGGATGGAGGTAAGGTTTTCTGTTCCCTTTCCCTCCATTACAATTCTCATGAAAACCTTTGTGCACACCAGGACTCAAAGAGTCAGTTGATAGGTAGGTGCACTTAATGTTTTAATAATAATTAAAGTTTAAACAATAGTTTTATTATATTACAATTTTTCATCCTCTATCCTAAATTGTACCTGTTAAAAAGAAAAAAAAGGAAAAAATAAGAAGAAAGAAACCCTTTGTGCAACACTGAAAAACTCTCATAAAATCCTGCAATTTACTTGTAGGTAACAAATTGAAGCTCAGTAGCCAGAAATTCTAAGCCTCATGAATGTCATACGGGCTAAACCCATGCAGGCCCATTCAAGATAACCATGACCTGGTCCTCAATCCTCATTGATGGGCCATGTGTACACATAGCTCAATGTTCAACCCATTTAAAAAAGAGGTTTTTTTACATCCAATTTCAAATGACCTGACCCAAGTAGCTAACAGTCAGGCCCATTCAAGTTGAAGATAATTTAGCATCCAACGTCCCTATCTCCGCCGTCGATGTGGCGTAGCTTTTGAAATTTTTTTTATATACCCAAAATCTTCTCTCCACCAAATCCCACTTTCTCTCTCTAAATTCCATTCTTCTCACTCTACTCTTTTATTCTCAATAGAATCAAAACGTTTCCCTTTCTGCTAAACAGAGAAGGCCATGCTGTCCCCAACCCCACTCTCCTTCTTTTGTGCTTTACTCCTTTGCTTGCCCTTTGCTCTTATCATCTCCATCACCACCCCTTCCTCCACCGTCACCCCCGCCATTTCCGATGATTCCCCTCAGAACCCACTAAAGCTGTTGGCTTCCAGAACCAAACCCACTCGGGAACTCCGATCCCCACCTCCACCGCCGTTGCCGGAGGATGATGAGTCACTCTTCCGACTTGCATCTAGAGTTCACTCCAGATTACCTCTCAGTGAACCCAAGAAAATTGCATTCCTGTTTCTCACCGTCAAGCCTCTACCTTTTGCTCCGCTTTGGGAACTCTTCTTTAACAAAACCCCTGCAAATCTCTTCAATGTTTATGTACATGCCGACCCGAGTTACCCATACGACCCGCCGTTTTCAGGCTTTTTTGCTCGTCGGTTTATCCCTTCCAAACCCACTTCACGGTTCACCCCTACTCTCATTTCGGCGGCGCGTCGACTTTTAGCGCACGCGCTCCTCCACGATCCTTCGAATTACATGTTTGCCCTCCTCTCGGAATCTTGTGTACCACTTCACTCCTTTAACTTCACCTACGCGACACTGACTCGATCGAGGAAGAGCTTCATTGAGATTCTCAAGAACGAAGTTGGGAGCTTCGACAGGTGGGCGGCGCGTGGACTGGAGGCGATGCTGCCGGAGGTGACGTTGGAGGATTTCCGGATCGGGTCGCAGTTTTGGGTCTTGACCAGAAGGCATGCGCGGCTGGTGGTTGGTGACCGTAGGATCTGGCCCAAGTTTGATCAAACGTGCGTGGTCCTCGAAACGTGCTACCCGGAGGAAAATTACTTTCCTACCCTCTTGCACATGCGGGATCCACGTGGAAGCGTGCCAGCTACGCTGACACATGTGGACTGGAGTGGCAGCTTCGACGGTCACCCGAGAATGTACGAGGCAGCCGATGTAGGGCCGGAGTTGATTTTGGGGTTGAGAAAGGAGAGGCCTAGGTATGGTGATGATGGGATCAACGGCTCTGATTCGTCTGTGACGCATCGGCATGACCCGTTCCTGTTCGCGAGGAAATTCGCTCCGGAAACCGTCGAATCATTGTTGAGTTTGGCAAACGACGTCATATTAAAGGATTAGGGCGTGTTTGGCAATATTGTAACTT